GTTTATTTTCTGCATTCCTTTTCTTAAAGATGGCCTCCTAAACCATATAATATTCAGGCGTCAAAAAATCTGAATATATCTCAGATGGTATAATTAAATCTTTACCATAATCCTGAAAAATATATATTACCACTGTTTTACATTCTGGAAACTAAAATGATGAGAAATAAATACTATTCCCAAAGACATATAGTAGGACCTGGCAGGGCTACAATTTGAACTCAGGTCTTTCCACATACAAAACTGAATGAATATACTTAATGCCAATGAATTATAACTAAAAAATGGTTATAATAATAAGTGTTATGTTATATATATTTTACCACAGTAAAAAAAAACAAAAAAAAACAAAACAAAAAAGAGTAAACTCCAGAATGTTAGGCTTAGGCCACAAAAAATTTCTCTAGTATTTAGCACATTGTGTGAGCATCATACACCAAGGTGATAGAAAACTACTGCACACCCTTCTTTAAAAGAATTCTTCTGAAGGTTTTAAAATATGAAATAAGATATCACTTCCAGATTCTGTGCTTTCCAAGTTACACTCACAAACTATAGCATCTGCAAACAATCCACTGTGTGGCACTTCACATATAAAGTTACATCAGGGCCAAATGCATCCATTTCCACTATCTTTTAGCTACTCTGTCAGAGAGGTTTTCATGGAAAGACAACAGGAGGTAGACTTGACACCAGTACTTAGAATAAAGCAGGTTAACACAGCAATGTCATCCCAAGACCTGACAGTCATTACTAAGGTCACCAGGGTTTGAAGTGGCTCCCGGCCAGGTTGACTCAGTATTTACTCTCCAAGGGTTGTTTTGAGATGCCCTGGAGTTTGGAGTTGGCCCAGATGGACCTAAAATTGTCATTCTCTAATGTGGGTGAGTGGCTGAGTCCTAGAAAGACCAAGTCAAAACACAGTGAATCAGATGGGCTCACATGGCTTGCTGAAGTCAGGATTCCACTGAAGACAGCCCATTTATAAATCTCAGAAGCCAAGGCCAGTTGAAGGGCAGAGTGTGGGAGGTGCTACTTCCCTAGCTGTAAAGTGCTCTGTGAGTCTGCCTTACCCAGTTCAGACCCTTTGAAAAGGGTCAGACCCTCAATTAGATGGTAGCATGCTGCCTTTTGGGCCTGAGCAGCCTATCTGAAAATATAGATGGTGTGACTTGTAATCTCTTGATTTTAAGGAACATAGAGACCCTGTATACCACTACAAATGATGATAATTTGTTGTAAGAATACACCTTGCTCTACTTTGTATTCCCATGACTATTTTGTAACTACCAATCTGTACTTCTCAATCCTTTCACCTTTTTCAACCATTACACCAACACTAAAAGAGACAGGATGCTGGGGAAACCAAGGAAGAGCCAGGCCTTGGAGAGATCAATCTGGAAGGGCATTTATGGTCCTTGGAAGCTCTTCGCCTGGGCCACATTCTGTCCTCTCAAGAGAGTGAGTGTGTGGGTCTGATGTGAGCATTCCTCGGTTCCTGGGGCTCAGGAGCCCTTCCTTCTCCACTGCTTTGACACTCTCCACCCACCACCTCATCAACTCATCATAGTTTTTCTCTGCCTGGGGTTCTGTCTCCTTGTAGCTGCAAATTCCTCCCAGCATTGCCTCATTCCTGAAGCATTATGTTCCTTCTAAACTCATGTCCTCTCTCAGCCAGCTTCAGCCCTCATGACCAAACCCCCGATTTTGGTCTGTATTTTCCAGATCAAGTTCCATCTATATACAGAAACAGGGTGATTAATCTGGTTGGCTTGGCTAAGGGGACACAGTTTTTCTTCCGGTGCTGGGGTGTTGGCTGCTCCTGGAACAGCAAGGGCAGGGACAGGTACTTTCCAGGAGAGGGCACCAGGCATCGCATCTTCAGGAAGCAAGAATGTTTACGCTGTGCCTTTTAGCTGGTACAAATTATCCAGCCTGGTGCCAAGGGGAAAACACAGTGGGTGGAGGTTTAATTGTAGCATTGCTGTACTCTGTATTTTATCTTAAATTCAGCTGCTTTTCTCCACCCTGCGTTTTAAGCTTTCATCACCACCCAAGTGGGAAGCACCTTTTCCCTCTCCTAATTGCATTACGTACCTTCGAAAACCAGTTATTCATTTAATTATTTATAAGCTTAATATTATTGGAGTACGTGTTTCATAACAGGCAAAATAATGAAGACTTAAAATTCAACCATGTACTTGATAAATAATAATTGAATACTTACGAAGTACCAAGCATGATGCTGCTTGCCGGGAATATAAAGATAACTAAGACAGTCCCTGCCTGATACCTAGTAAAAATTCAATAAATGCTTGTTGAATAAATAAATGCCTTAAAAGACCTCACAGCCTTATTGTGGAGAGAGGCCAGGATGCAGACACGTACAAGGAAAGTGAACAGGGCTAGCTTGGGGAAAGCCTCCTGGGAGACCACGATGTTCTGTGTGGGGTAGTCCCTGTAACGTCTGCACTGAGGCCTCGATGGTGAGTTGCATTAATCAAGTGAGAGATATAAGAAGGCAAGAGCCTCCAGGCAGCACAAGTAGTGGGTGCAAAGGCTTGGGCATGGGGAAGGAGCTGCAACCAGGCTGAAGCGCAAATAAAGCTCTTATTATTTAGGGCCTGGCCTGGATGGAATTCTGTGCCTGGAATAGTACAAGGTCCCCAGTTTAGTAACAGGGTCACATGGAGTGTCTGGAGTTCCCTGGGGACATTTTTGTTGCTGCCTGCACCCAGTTGGAGATGGTCTGATGGTGGGATATATCACATCCTATATAATAGAGATATAATATGCAAATAATCATTATGCCATGAAGCATTATGACCAACTGCATAATGACTGGATCATGGATCAGCAGAAAGGGGTGGGGGGTTGGACAGCAAACTGCAAGTGTAAGGCAGAGAGCTACATGAGGGGGCAGGGCAGCAAGCTATGGGGGGAGGTTTAGGGCAGAGGGAGTTATGGGAGGGCAGAGCAGTGGGCAGAGAGCTACTGGAGGGCGGCAGCGAGCTACTGCCGCATGGATTCTAGTTTAAACTAGAATTCAAGGTCAAGATTACATACTGCCTCTCAATCTAACCTCTTTTGATTGTTCTCTGTATCTCATCTTGCCCTCCACTGTCCTTGAAAATGCTCAGCAAGAGGCTGCCTCGGCACTTTTGCATTTGGTTGCCCAAATCATTTAAGGATCTGTTAGATAGCAATTGAGCAGAGAAATCCTCCCTGACTATTCTAAATGAAGTAACTCACCCTTCCTATCCCTCTTTCCTTTTACCCAGCTTTTTAATTTTCATAGCCCTAATCACTGCCTGATTTTAAGAATCTCTTGCTACTACTGCTCCCCAGCCTGGAATATATTAGTATGTTTTATGTCTCAAGAGCTTGGCTTTGTTTACTTGGCTTCTTCTAGAACAATCCTTGGCACAAAGTATATGTTCAAAAAATATTTGTTGAATGAATCAATGAATGAAACCTAATACTAGATACAAAAATGGAGGTGATATCAGGGACACAAATAACTTGTGTAGCAATCTTTCTTCTTCAAGCTAAATCAACTTAATTCATAGAACTGTATTTTTCTCCCCCAAAAAGGCGTACTTCCAACTCTTTCATAATCCTGTTTTCTCTCTACAAGATTCTTGCCATGTTATTCCAGGTTCTTGCATATGAGTTCAAAATGAACAAAGCCTTCTGAGAAGAACCCGTAATTAGTTTTCCTCTTTTCATAGGTTTCATACGTTTGCTTAGAAATACACTTTAAAAGAATTAAATTTATTGGGGAGACATTGGTTAATAGGATCATATAGGTTTCAGGTGTGGATTTCTATGTTATAAGATTTGTATATTTCACTGTGTGCCCACCACCCAAAGTCAAGTCATCTTCCTTCACCACATGTTAGATCCCTTTCACCCCTCACTGTCTATCTGCCCCACCCTCTTCCCAAAACAAGAAGCCTAAATTCAGTTTGGAGAGAAACAAAGTGAATATTTTATTAGCTGTTTGTAGTCTCAACACATCCAAAGCATCCTCTTAAAAAAAAAAAATATATATATATATATATATATATATATATATGCATATATTGATTTCAGAGAAGAAGGAAGACCGAGAGAGAGATAGAAACATCAATGATGAGATAGTATCATTGGTCAGCTGCCTCCTGCACGCCCCACATGGAGACTGAACCCACAGCCTGGGCATATGCTTCTACCTGGACTCCAAAGGTGACCTCCTGGATTAAAGGACAGCACTCCACCACTGAGCCACACCAGCTAGGCGCAAAACATCCTTTTGAATACATTAGGAAAATATATGTAATCACCCTCATGAATTTAGCCATGGCTTGTATAGGTTTTTAATCTGTCACTATTTTGTTCAACAAATAAATACCTCCTATGCTCCACTTGTGAGCTAGAAGCTGACACAGTACACAACAAGAACACCTGGTTCTTATCAGGAATGACTCAGAAACTTGGGCATCAATGTTTCAGTTTCCACTATTGTTGTTTTGAGACTAATTCTCAAATATGACTTTATTATATTTATTTACAATATTGCTTTTAAGATAATATTTCTATAGTTATAGAAAAAAGTATCTTTCATCCAATGTGAAAAACAAGGGAGCACTATGTTTTGCTTTCCTTAGCCTGCCTTCTAAATTGACTGTGAAATGATTTATATTTTTCAGAATTTATTTCAATTCTCTGCAAAGGATTTAAAATGGAATACAAAAATCTCAGGTATTTTTCTTTAGCTCAATTTTTTAAACCCTCCTTACCTATAATTTATAGATTTGTGTTTTATTTATACATCTTTACTGTTTTTCTTTTAAATTATTTTAGAAACACCTTTAAAACATTTCAATTGCTCTTTTGACATTTCACTGATCAATATTTCACTGAAGGTATTGACTTTCTCTAGGATGCAGAGAGACTAATAGAAATTACACAAAAATTTCTACTGAATGAATTTCTCCACCTTCTTGGTGATTGTACACCTGCTTTCCTTATAAGGAGAACAAGGAAGTAAATCATGTTGAAGTTGCTTTTAAGCACAGCTTTTCTCCTTTACCTGTCCAGGTAGCCTCTGTTTTCATTTGTCTTAAATGAAAACTTTTTTATTTACATCTCAAGTTTCTTTTCAAAGCAGTGTAAGTAGTATTCAAAATCTTACACTTGGAGGAAAAAAGACTTTAACGATGTTCAGCTTTGGTCTTGTAACGTTGAAGGTAATTCATTTTTTAATCTGTTTGCACAGCGAGAACTGAAACGAATGGGGATTGAACTGCTTTGCCTGTTCTTTCTATTTCTAGGAAGGAACGATCACGTACAAGGTAAGACCCGAGCTCTCCGATAAATTGCTTTCGTGGTATGCTTGACAAACCTGTCATTTGGTTCAGAAACTCGATCTGAAGTCATTTTTTATTTAACCGGTTTGATTGCTTTCTTGCCATTGAGCGAACACTTTAACAAATTGCAGGCAGACGCGGGACTGTAAGTAAATAAATACAAAGGTTGCATGGGAACTTTAATGAGGAGAATTAAACAGCCTTACTACACAATAGGACTTCTTAATACATTTGTGACAACCATTTTGTTAACTTTACTAGCTATTTTTTTTTAAATACAAGAGTAATGACCTTGAGAGAGAACAGGGATTTATTTAAAAACTAAAACTATAGTACGTTTAAGAGAGAAGCATTTTAAATAGGTAAAAATATTTTTTTAATTCAAGTGGATGATAATGAATGAGGACAGTAAATGATGATTTTATATTTGTGAACATTGGAATATTTCCTATTTTAAGAATAAAGAGAATCATCACTTGGGGATAATAAGACATACATATTTTCAATGTGGTTGATGTCAAATATAAACTTCATAAATTGGTAACATTTTTTGAGGAGTGATCTTTGAAGACAAAAGTAAACTTTGCTATTGCTTCCTTCAAGTACTTTAAGAGCCATTAGTCTGGGAAGTGGAGTGACTGAGTGAGTGCTGAATCCCTGTGTCTTGCTGGGTTTAAACACAGGTGGCTGTGCCATGGGAGGTGCAGAGACCTGCGGAGACTGTCTGCTCATTGGACCTCAGTGTGCCTGGTGCTCTCAGGAGGTAAAGCAAATGATCTCAACCGGTTGTAAAAGCCTCAGTTACACTTACTGTAATGTCACCAGTGATGGTTCTGATAGTGTCCTGCTCTCTGTGGGGTTAGAGGAGTGAGAGAAATCTAGGAGGGAAAATGTAAACTTTAGTAGATGGATTCAAAGTAGTCATTGTGTGATTACTTTCAAAAGCAATTTGCAGAGGGAGTAAATGCCAAATTATTCTGAAAAATATTTAACGTGGGGGTCTGTTATTTCTTCTGATTCCTCCCCTTATATTAAAGCCATTTCTAACTCTTCACCAGCCAAATGCCATCAGAGGTCATGGAGATGGTATTTTCTAATGTTAAAAATATATTGAGTTTAGTACCATCGTTATAGTTCACCTGTGAACCAGGACCAATTCTGAATCATTGCAAGATTCTAAGAGAAGTGTTCTAGATTTGGGTTAGTTAAACTTTACTATTCAGACATCACACAATTCTTTTAAACATTACATTTTCATGAGCGTGGTGACTGTACCACAGTGACCAAGCCCAAAATAGCATTCCTTATCTGATCAAATGGAAAAGTATGTGGAATTAGTACAAGGACTAGGCAATGTATTATAAACCAGCCTGAGTCACTGCCTCCTGTGACACTGGAAAGCAACCTGTAATGATTCCTGATAAAAAGAAGGGGAAAAAAAGAAGAAGAAGCTGCTTTGCTTTTTCTGGATTTAGAACACTTTGCTACTGAATCTCATAAAGAAAATCTAAACCCAAATCAAAACATACTAATGCCAAGTTCAGCAAGGACTGGTAGCATGCTCAAGGGGAACCAACCTGGACACCTAACTCAGACCAGGCCAGAACTCTTCATTACGCCTCCCAGGCTGAACATATACCTGTGGAGGAGGGCTTCAGAGACTCTAGAGGGAAAATCCAGCTCACGCCCCCTGCCTATTGACTGATGAGTCACAAACAAAAGTGCAGTGTGAGAGAATTATGCTTTTTCTTTTCTTCTTTGTATTGAATTCATTGGGGTGGCATTTGTTAGTAGAATTATATAGGTTTCAGGGGTACAATTCTTTTTTTTTTAAAATATATTTTATTGATTTTTTACAGAGAGGAAGGGAGAGAGATAGAGAGCTAGAAACATCGATGAGAGAGAAACATCAACCAGCTGCCTCTTGCACACCCCCCCACCGGGGATGTGCCCGCAACCAATGTACATGCTCTTGACCGGAATCGAACCCGGGACCTTTCAGTCCGCAGACCGATGCTCTACCATTGAGCCAAACCGGTTTCGGCTCAGGGGTATAATTCTATCATATTGTGTGTTCATCACCCCAAGTCAGTTTTCTTCCATCACCTTTTGACCTTCTCCTACCTCCTCCCATCCCTCTTTCCCTCTAGTAATCATCAAACTGTTGTCTGTATCAATGAGATGGGTGTGTGTATGTGTGTTTCGCTAAATCCCTTTACCTTTTTCACCCAGCCTCCGGAATTAGGCCTTTCTGAGCTCATGTATGAAGAGTAGGTTTGAGAATATACAAAGAAGGGAAAACCCCACATTTTTTTACATTGACTCCCTGAAAAAGACAATATTAGTTTCCTACCAGAGATGTAAAAGAACAAATCAGTCTAACAAAATGTTCACTCTGGAATTTTTATTTCAATGCATCTTTAAGCACTCATTTAAGTGCACTTCCTAAGTTACCACTGATAGCTTTACCTGGGGATGATACTTGGTAGTTAATTATTGTCACATTGTAAGACCAGATTATTCTAAAAGATTACTCTAATGGTAGCAGTTATATCAGTTGAGACAGTTGGAACAAAAGGCAAATTAGGCTTCTCCTTAGAGCAGAGAGAAGAATGGCTTCTATGATTAACACCCGCTCTAGTCTTTTGGCAAATGTGGTAATTGTGGGTGGTAGCAGTGACATGTTGAGAAGGGTTCCGAGGCCTTGTCCAGCCACTGTTTACCTTGGATACATCACAGAAAGTTAGTTTGCTACACCTAGCCTGGTGCCTCACATATGCACAGGCTTGACTGATAAAGAACGAATTACAGTCTCAAAAATCAATTTCAGAAGGAAAGTTTCCTGGCTGGTGAAAACAGCAAGAGTGGCTTAGAATTCTAAGGAATGAGAACAACAACATGAGCATTGGTTTGCCTCTTTCCAAGCATGTGAGTCAATGAGCCTCAAGTTTGACTGGTTATTCTGCTATAACTTAATTTTAGACATACAATCAATAGCAGGGATATGGTATTCTGAGTATGGCAAAATGCCTAACTAGTAAAGCAAGCAAAATAAAGTTGTATTTTATAAAAATACAGATTTGTCTTTTTCTTTTTATTGTTTTACTTTTTAGAATTTTACCCAGCAACCTGGAGTCAGTGAAAGATGTGATACCCGAGCAAATCTTCTAGCTAAAGGATGTCAAGTAAACTTCATCGAAAACCCTGTCTCCCAAGTAGAAATACTTACAAATAAGCCTCTCAGTGTAGGCAGACAGAAAAATAGTTCTGACATTGTTCAGATTGCACCTCAAAGCTTGATTCTTAAATTGAGACCAGGTACGTTGATTGACATGAGCATTGGAGCATGTAAATAAATCTAAGATCTCGTGGTAATATCACTGTTCTGCTCATATTCCTTGTACCACCTATTACAATACCACTGTTTATTATTTCCCTTTCCCATTCTTAAGGAAATAGAGAACTGCTTTTATTTATTCATATTGGTCACTTGTACTCCAAATGTGTCACTAAAAAAAGCCTTATCTAATAGTAACCCTTTGAATTGCTCAAATGTTAAGGTTTCCCTCACATTTCTTCAAGAGTTGTAATGTAATTTTAAACTCCTTTTCATTTTGCTCTCCTTTTCTAAAAACCACATACAAAAAAATCAGCTTATCTCCCATCTAAATGGATGCTAGTCCTCCCAAGGAGATATAAAATATCCTAACTCTTACCTCCTTCAGTAGCTCTAAACACACTGCTGAAAGACCTCCATGGGCTCATTCATTTATAAACTCTGCCACCTAGTTTATGAAATCTTCAGTATCTTCAGTAACTTCTTACTGAAATGAAATAGCCAGCTAGCCCAGTGATTGGCTAGTCACAAACATGTCTCTGCATATTTATGGGCTCACTTTTCTTGCGGGGTACTTGCAGGTGGTGAGCAGACACTACAAGTGCAAGTCCGCCAGACCGAGGATTACCCAGTGGACTTGTATTACCTCATGGACCTCTCGGCCTCCATGGATGATGACCTCAACACAATCAAAGAGCTGGGTTCCCTGCTCTCCAAGGAGATGTCTAAATTAACTAGCAACTTTAGACTGGGCTTTGGCTCCTTTGTGGAAAAACCCGTCTCCCCTTTTATGAAAACAACGCCAGAAGAAATCGCCAACCCTTGCAGGTAAGTAAATGATTCTCTGGAATCTTTGAACACTGATTTTCTGTAGAGATAGCCCCGCTCTGAGCTGCACTTGGCAGGAGCTTGCTAACTCTCTGGCATTTCCCCCCTGTCTGGTTAGATCTCAGCAGCTCTCTCAGTTGCCTGGGTTGTTTAGAACCAAGAGAAAGTCATCTTAACACACGGTTCTAGCCTTGGGTCCTTGCAGCATCTGTATCTCTGTGTAGGTCAAGATATGACAAATTGGGCTCTGTGTTCTGCAGACAAGGGGACCGAGTTTTTAGCTATGGGTTCCACTCACCTGTGCCCATCTCCAGCCCATTTGAGACCGTCTATTCTAAATGATCACCACTTTCTGTGGCCATTTGACAGTAACCCAATGTTCTCAGAGTCTCTACTATTGTATAATGACTTCTGCCAAAATAGCATGTTTTGCCGCTTCCTTTGACATACTTAGGGAAATGTGGATTTTTCTTACTGATTGGAGAAGGTCTCTGTAGCCTTCACTACTATCTAACTCATTTCAAAATTGGGTGGTGACTCCATTATAATATGCTGTAACCAGATATTAAAATAATGTATTATGCAGGTGGTGATGGTTGAAGGCAAACTGCTTTGTGATGGTTTACCTATAGAGTCAATGACATGTTTCAAATAAAAGTTTTTCATATCCTTCTAATAAAAAAGGACTAGGTATCATTTGTTTAGTGCCAGGCCATATGCTGAAGGTCTTACATAAATGACACCCTTCAGTCTTCATAATAACAGCAAGTCAAAGCAGATTCTCTTCTCCTTGTTCAGAGGAAGTAACAGAGGCTCTGAGAGTTTAGGAATTTCCCCTAGGCCACATGACTAATCATGGATTTGTGCTAAGATCTGGGTTGCTCCGAAACCAAACCCTTGACTACCATAAATCTGGCATATATGAAATAACTTTCCAAGCCTCCATTGTCTTTTAATACTTGTATGCACCCGAGCATCCATCTCTGTAAAAGACAAACAAGTTTAATACTATCACTTTAAAGACATTTCCGTGTGATTTCCAATTAGGATCTGACATAACCCAAAATAATTTGACCGTGAAAGGAGCTCATTACTGATTGTAACTCTTGGGAGTTGTGTTTGCATTCAAGTACCAGAGATGGTGTCTGTCCCCACTTCCTTTTTTTTTTTACCTATAATTGACATATACTACAATGCACACATCAAAAATGTTCAGTTTGATGAGTTTTGACAATGGGATATACAAATATAATCACTACCTGAAACATGATATAGAACATTTTCATCAACTCAGAAACTTCCCTGAGGCCTCATTTCAATCCGTTCTAGTTCACCAGAGGCAACCAATTTCTGGTTCCTGTAATTTAGATAGGTTTTTCCTATTTTGGGATTTTATATAAATAAAGTAATGTAGTATAAGCCTTCTGTGTTTGCCTTCTTTTGCTCAAAATAATGTTTTTGAGATTTATGCATGGTTTTGTGTTTCTCAGTAGTTTGGTCCTTTTTGTTTTAAATAATAGTCCATTATATGGATTTATTATACTTTGCTTATTCATTCTTCCATTAATGGACATTATTTTGGATTGTTACCCATTATTTTGGCTAGCATGAAAAATGCTGTTATGATCACTTGCATATAATTCTTTGTGTAGATAGATGGACTTTTTATTTTTCTTTGATAGATAACCAGAATTGGAATTGCTAAATGGTATAAGTATAGTTTTAATTTTTTAAGAAATTATCAAATTATTTTCCAAAGTGGATGTGTAATTTTGCATTTTCATCAGCAATGTTATTCAAAATCTTTGCTAATACTTGGTGTAGTCAGTCTCCTTAATTTTAGCTATTCAAATAAGTGTGTATCTCATTGTAGCTTAAATTACATTTCCTTAATTACAAATAATGTTGAGCATCTTTTCATGTCTATATTTGCCATTCTTATATCTTATTTTGTGAAATGTTATTTCAAATATTTTCCCCACTTTTAAAAATTAGATGGTCTTCCTAACATTCTACTGTATATGTTCTTTATACATTCTGAATAAAAGTTCTTTATCAAAGTTCTTTATCTGTTTTAAAAATATTTTCAATCAGTCTATGGACTGCATTTTTATTTTTCTAGCAATGCCTGTGCTCATGTAAAAGTTTTTAGTTTTGTCCTAACTGGTTTGGCTCAGTGGATAAAGTGTCAGCTTGTGGATTGAATGGTCCCAGGTTTGATTCCGGTCAAGGGCATATACCTTGGTTGTGGGCACATCCCCCATTGGAGGGTGTGTAGGAGGCAGCTCATCAATGTTTCTCTCTCATCAGTGTTTCTGACTTTCTGTCTCTCTCCCTTCCTCTCTATGAAAAATCAATAAAATATATATTTTAAAGAGTTCTTAGTTTGGATAAAGTACAATTTATCAATCTTTTATGAAATGATTAGTTCTTTGTTTTCATACAATAAATACCTTTATTTTTAAATGATCAGTGAAAGTCAAAAGATCATGAAAGCATAAAAATCATGAAGTTTGTGCAAAGAAAGCTGGTTTTACTTTAACTTTCTTGGATGCTTAAGTTAATCCTCTCAGGAACGAAATGAGAGAATCTAATGACACCAGTTATTTTCTTGAGATGTACAATTAGTTATCTGCCTGGTTAGTTCCTTTTTTGTCCTAAGAAATGTTTGTGAACCCCAATGTCACAAAGATGCTTGCTATGTTTTCTTTGGGAAGCTTTCCCATTGAAGTTTTTGGAGTTAGGACTATGATCTCAAAATATGTGTTTTTATTTGAATGAAAAAAAAGGCCTATGTTTCCATGCAAATACCTAGAACTATTTGTTAAGCAAGATTTTTCCTTTTCCCATTGAATGATCTTGATGCCCTTTAAAAAGAGCAATAGACTGAATATGTGTGAGTCTAATTCTAGGAACTCTATTCTGATCCATTGATCCTTTGAATATAGTCATGTAACCCTAATGCCTTATAAATCTTTATTACTGTAGCTTTATTAAACAGTCTGGAAATCTGGAGTACAACTCCAACTTCGTTGTTCTTTTGTTTGGGCTATTTTATATCTTTTGCATTTCCATAGTAATTTTAGAATCAGCTTGTCAATTCCTTAAAAAAATATGTTGAGATTTTTATTAGAATTGCATTGAAACCACAGGTCAATTTAGGCAGAATGGACATCTTAAAAATATTGAATATTCCAATCATTGCACATGACATGTGTTTCCATAAATTTAGATCTTGTCTCATTTCTCTCAGCAATGTTTTGTCATTTTCAGGATAAAACCCTATGCATCCTTTGTTTAATTTATTGCTATGAACTTTGGAATGTTGTTGTTAAAGTTATTTTTAAATTTTATTTTCTAATTGTTGATAACATATACAAATGCAATTGATTTTGCATACTCAGTTTGTATCCTGCAACCTTAATACATTTTGTTATTAGTTCTAGTCTGACTTTTTGAAGATTTCTTAGGATTTTCTATGTACATAATCAGGTAATCTGTGGATAACAACTTCTTTCTCTCCAATATCTGTTCCTCTCTTTTGCTTGCCTTTCATGCTGGCTAGAATCTCTCGTACAATTTTAAATAGAAATGTTTAGAAGCTGCTCTTCATCTTGCTTGTGATCTTAAGAGGAAAGTTTCAACATTTCATCTTTAAGTATGTTGTTAGGTAGTGATTGTTTTTGTTGTTATTTTTTTTAATTCCCTTTATCAGGTAAGGGAAGTTTCCTTCTATTCCTTGTTTGCTAATCTTTTTAAAAATTACAAATGAATATTGATTTTTATTTCTTCAATTTAAAGAGTTTTGCCAAAAAATTTAAGAACTCCTTACACTTGTGTATCCTTGGCCAGGACTTAGTTACATAGCCACAGCTAGCTGCAAAGAAAGCATGTTGCTACCTCAAATAAAATGAAAATTTTGTTAGTAGAGAAGAAGAAAAAAAAGAAAAAAAGAATGGGTACTGAGTGACATCTGCCAAGTTCTGCAACACTGAACAGATTTTTATAGAGATATAATGATTTGTATCCTCAAAAATGCTGTATAATAAATAATAAGTTATGATTATCATTATCAATTATTTGACTCACTTGTAAAGGAAAATAAGATTGGTGCTATCAGCCTCCTAACTCTTTATAATAAAAGCATTTCTAATGCTTCTGGCCTTTAAAAAAAAAAAATCACAAAATGTTGTACCAGTCTAAAATTTCTGCATATTATCTTTCTCCTTCAACAAGCTTCAGTAGAGAGTCTAGTAGAACAATTCTATCTAGCATTACAAAGTGCTACCTCTGCCCCAGGGGTTTATTTAAAATCATTTTTTCTATCACAGGTCAGATCAGATGTAGTAACATAAATTACAAAAATGACCATAGGGCCCCAACTGGTGTGGCTCAGTGGTTGAGCATTGCTAACCCATGAACCAGGAGGTTAAGGTTCAATTTCCAGTCAGGGCACATGCGCAGGTTGCTGACTCAATCCCCAGAAAGAGACATGCAGGAGGCAACCAATCAATTACTCTCTTTCATTATTGATGTTTCTCTCTCTCTCTCATTCTTCCTTCCTCTCTCTGAAATTAAATTTTAAAAATTTTAATGACAATAGGGAACAACAGGTATGGAATGTTATCAGAAAAATATAAAAATTAACAAACTTGAATGCTTAGCTAAGCTGACAGCCCAGCATCTTGAATTAACAAGATCCTGTCCTTAATCAAGCTTCTAGAGAAGGAAAGCAGTTTGGCATTTTGCAGCTTTGATTCATTCCATTCATGCATTCATTTATTCACTCATCCATTCAACAAAAACTTACTGAGCTCCAACTATGTGCCAAGTATTGTGCTAGGCATGGGATCCCTGGGAAAAAAGATCTGGGCCCCGTCCTCCAGGAGCTGAAACCCTTCGGGGAGCAGACACAAGGTACAGTGTAGCTAAGAGCATGGGCTTTGGAGTCAGCTTGGATTAAGTCCAGATTCATCTACTCACTCCCCAATGTCCCCAAA